TATGCATCGTGTAGAGAGAAGGAGCTGATCCAGCGGATAGACACATAGAGCACCCTGACGAGGATTTCAGCAAGCTACGATCCAACACGCAACGTGAAGGAGCATAGAGAGCGTTTCCTATTTGAAAGGTCGTTTAAAGTGCTTGATATTCAATTCGTCTAAAATTTATTATCTTAATTTTAAACCATCTATAATACTTTTGCTCTGTAGGCATATACAATGTGCATAAACACTATATCGAAATGCTGCCTTGGAAGAGCCCAAATGTGTGTTGTTGTATGAAATTAAACGTAGCTCATTGGTAGCGTATTTACTGTAAGTAAGTGCAATCAGTTTCTGAAGAAGGACCACCTGTCAACTTCGGCAGAGCTCACACGCAGACAACCAAAGCGTGCGCTACCAAATCAGTGAAGCTGAAGCAGATAGAAAAGGCTAGCTTTCACGAAGGCGCTTCCTGATTTTCGAGGGGAGATGTCCTCTCTTGAAATAGGGGTAAACGATTCTATAGGCTAAGGCGAATAAAAGAAACACACACAGTGCATGAAGTGCACTTTTAATTGTCATATGCATACATTCTTTTCGTCTTAACTTCTCGCACAGTTTAGTTTTATGTCAGTATGATCCAACGAACCGGAGTAATCCTAATGATATCCATGTGTCTTCGTCTCCTGACGTAGCTAATTATTACAATGACAATCTCTCCACGTGCTCCGCAAGAAAGAAAGCGCTAAGGTGATTTTAACAATCTGGAGAGGCCTAGAATATATATTGCTTGTGTTCTTTGCAGCTAAATCTACAAAGCGTCAAGGCTCAAGCATCATAGAGTTTCGAATATACCTACTAGAGGGAACTATGGCGCTAGTGTCTAAGGAAGCTGCAACGTATACATGACGCTTCAGCGAGCATGGGAATGATGGGTATAGTACACGGATTTGTCTAATCTTCGTAGTTCTGGTTCTGTGCGTGTTCATGTGGCTTGAAGCTGTTCTGTCACGAAATCAAAATCGTCGAATGTTCAGATGTTGCGTTTTACCACCTTAATCTTTTAGGTTACCAATTCTAATCAGGTCACAAAGGTCAAACGAGTTAATTTTTTCCTTCGAAAAAAAAAACCTGAAACACCGCAATAAACGCAACCACAAGTGGGATTCCCCACCTACAAGTATGAAGACTAGGCAAATCTATGCCATACCCTTGATTCCCAGGGTCGCTGAACGATCGCAGTACTAGAATCACCTCTAGTTAATTTTACGAAACTCTGTGTCAAGAAAGACCAGATGACAAAGCGGGAAGAAAAGGGCGCGAAGTGGTGGGGGGTGGGGGGCTTCTTATTTTTTGAACCGGGCCCTCCGCACTGCTAGTCCGGCCCCGAGAGGCCCCAGTGTTAACGGTCTGCTGTGCCCATTTACGTATGTCATTCGCTTGAACTTAGTAAACTGCGAACTCTAATTATTGGTTCAGCACTCGCTGTTAGATCATCCACCTGTTTTTTAGCTTTGTTTCCCATATTGTAAGTTTCAGGCATGCTTCACTTGTATTATGAAATGTATAACTATAGTACATTTTGATTTTGGAATTAGCTGTACTCTTAATTTGAAATATATTTTGATTTGTTGGAAATTAACTTTATCTTCATTTAACCGCCTCATTAAAGCTTTTGTCCTTTGCTTGGAAAAGGATCTTGACTCCTTCATAACGGCGATTGGTGCAAGCCATACACCAGAGACCCAACCCCGTGCCGCGGATTGGGAGAGGCTTGTGCTTTGGCCCCGAGTCCGACATGCTGTATCTGCCAAACTCAAGAAATCAAAAGACTTGTATTCATAAGTGTCTCTAGCTATGAACCATTCTCCGCGGAACTAGTTATATCCTTCAAACGTTTTAATACCACAAGCAGGTTTATAGTAGGTCTCATTTGATTGATCATTGATATGTCGGGTTTAATGTTCCAAAACTACCATATGAATATGAGAGACGCCGTAGTGGAGGGCTCCGGAAATTTCGACCACCTGGGGTTCTTTAACGTGCACCCGAATCTGAGCACACGAGCCTACATCACTTCCGCCTCCATCGGATAGTAGGTCTTATTTTCGTACTTAACAATATACACGAAACACGCAGCGTTATTTCAGGCAGATGTACTCAATTGACTTCTTTGCAATGACATTATCGTTGAAATAAAAGTGGTCTTAGTACTACACCTCTTAAAGACGCCAACTGCCCAAGATTTCGGACATTTGACAGTGCATATTGATGTCCTAGCCCGCACGTGTAACGTGCTCCTTTTGTTGCTGTATTGCCACGATGACCTTGCAGAAAGCCAAGGCACTTTGCGCAATGAGAGTGCTCCTTCATAATTAAGTTCACACCCATGATGCACTGCGGAGACTCACTAGTCAATGCGGAGATATGAACAATCCCATACTCGCCCACAAGTCACATGCTTCGACATCAGCCGAACCTCTTGGCCCGTATGCAAGCGAACAGCCCACGGCAGTATGACACAATCTGGCCTCACACTTTACTCACACGCTGCTATCCTCTCGTAAGCCATGCTAGCCTTGCAAGCCCTTGTACTACCGTTCGTTCAGAGACTTGCAGCAGCGAAGGGCTCAATGTGATCACGGCAGCCCTAATGAATTATAGCAATTTTCCATTGGTAGAGTGCAGCGACTTCACTTGTCATGGGCGTATCAAATAATGAAGCCCGAGCTCTCCACTGTGTGCTATGTTAGGACCGTGGCCGCAGTCTAGCCTCATTAAGGTTTTTTTGTCCGTATATCCAACCTTATGTGATGTTGGAATGAAGTGTTATATTAAATGAAAGACTGTAAGGCTCGCGCAGAGCAAACCTACGATGTTGATTTGCTCCTTGTTTGTAGCGGACAGTTGATTCTCCGAGATGATACTCGCGCGCATGATTCTATATGAACAACCTGTTTTTCTTTTGTGTGTGTGAGCGTGTTGCTCTTGACATTTGGTAAGAACATGCGTAATTTATGACTGATTCAAACCGTAAATGACCCCTGCTTTTTACTTACCAGTCTCGTGATATGAAGCTGCAGTAACACCAGCAGGCTTGACGTCAACGAAACTTTTTTTGCGAAGTAAACATTACCTCAAGTATGGCTTCACTGTTTTGTTGGATTTCAGTTGAGCCGGGAATATGCCCTCATAAGTTTCCGCGTGCAATAATAATTCACCATTACAACTCAGCTTACAAATAAGCCGTGAGCTTTGGATCTAGTATTTAATTTTTAGAACTCTTTTTCCCAAGCAGCAATATCAATTCAAGAACAAAACTATGAAAGTCACGATAGTGCGCACCCGTGCCTCATTTGAATGACAATTTTTCCTAATGTAAAGTAACCATTCCACCCAATTTCTGAATGTTCTTGATTCACTGTGTGTGCATTTTGTGTAACTCTCAAAAGAAAAAAAACTTGACCTAGATTTTCGAAGGCGCAGTGTAGTCATTACACCTTTGTTTCTTTAGAAGTACCAAGTTTTCTTTTCTCTGTTACTTTTTTGCTTCCCCCCCCCTCCTTAAAGCAGAGTAGCCAACAAAACAGTCTTCTGATTCAATTCTTTTCTCTCTCACTTACTATGGCTTTGATATCATCCGTTGTTTCGAGCTGTTTCTCAAGTTTACGCACTAATATTAGTAATTGCCGAGTTTTACGTTCAAAAAACACGATACGATTATGAGGGACACCTTCTTGGACATTCAATTCTTCTAGAATATACTTCTGAGGCAGAGATGCTATATCAATATCAAACAATATAGTACACTGAATGTACATTTTATGCTTAAGAACAGTTCAGGAATACGGCACTGTTTCTCTTCTTCCGGTGTCCAAAAAATACAAATTTCATGTAATTTTGCGGCAATTCCGTACGGCTTTAACGATTGGCGTAGAAGCTTACTACCCTTCGTGTTTCAGTTCAATACTTCACACTTCACGGCATCAACGGGCTCTGAGCTCGCCACTCTTTTAATCCTAATGAAATTTGTTATGCGAGATTCCCCTATAGTGTAAATGGGCCATATTCTGCGACTCCAAGGCGACGCTTTAATGCGTGCTAAGTCTACGACGTAAAAACTGCCATCAGTTGGTGCCTCAAGTCAAGGCAATTAGTCACCACGCCTCTACTCAAGGACGCCACATAGTCTTTTCATTGCTGCCGGGTCACTGATATCAGTGGTAACCACCTCACCGACAACGCTGCCCGATGTTCCCACAATATGGCACATCGGGTAGCCCATACCACTGTCATACCCCTGTCAAGAGTCGACGCTGCAAGACAAATTCGTCACATCGCACATAATACCACGCTTGCGCATTGGCTTCTCCACTGAACTCCCCTGGCGACCCCCAGAACCTCGAATCATTACTTCAACTACACCTGCCATCAAAGACTTCACGACGTGACGCTACAAGGTTGTGTCGATTCTTCATCGAGTGTTTACCAACTCATTCAGCTATCACATTGGTAATGCTAACTCATTCATGTGTAATAACTGTGTGTAGAGACTACTGACCGTGTCTTGTGCCACTGTCCCGAAGCTGAACAAGATCGCCGACTTTACAGTGGGCCTTGAAGAGACTCGACGATCCGCCCTTTACTCAAGAAAAAGTTTGGGAGCATGGTCTCCAAGTACGCCATGCCAGACAGCCCACGAACGCTTCTTCAGTTCTTGAAGGCTACATCACTGAGCGACCATCTGTGAAGCCCTGCGCTGTGTGTGTGGTGGGTAATTCTAACCTCCTCCTCTCTTTCTCTCTCTCTCTTACTCACTCTCCCCCCAGGTGGGGTAGCAAACTGGACGTAGTCTAGTTAACATCCCTTTCTTTCTTATATTCCTTCTTTATCTCTCTTTCTCCCCTGTGTCTCTCGCTCTCTCAGATTATAATATCATCGAGACAATTATAGCTAACTCCAACGTTCACGGGAGTGTTTAAGGAAAAATCGCAGGCTTCAAACGTCGCTTTTTCTCGTTTTTTTTGCACTTCCAATAGTCTGGAGCATCGGTGCTCGTTAACGATCTTGCTCCTTCTGTTCACAGATATTGATCTGCATCACGTGACGCCCACTCACAAATTTGCGATCTTCAAAAATAACCGGGAGTACTTACAAGCAATCAGTACATTTTTGTTGCACACACTGTTTCAGGCAAAACAGATTACAAAAACTTTAGTAGACGACTGGTACCAGAATGCCACTTCAGCAATCAATGATTCTGAGGGAAGCAGTCATGTTTTAAAAAAGCAAAAAAAGTGTTGCTTTTTTTCATAACACTGAAATTTGATGTTCTTAGTGTTGCACCACGGCCCTAAAACGTCGTATTTTCATGTAATCTTGAGTCATTGGTTTAAGCCGGCACTTTTTCCAGTGGCACATCGGTGTTGATAACCTGAAAGCAACAAATAGCCACATCATTATTCAACGTACAGTACACGCAATGCATTATTCACTGAATACAAGAAAAATCCTCAATATAAACAGCAACATTAAACTATAGGGTGAGACGTGAGGAAGATTTCCGGTCGAAACGTGAGACGGGATCACTAAGCTGTCTTCCGGAACAACATGTGGCACAAAGGTAGTACTACATGTTCTTTACCCATTTAAATGTCATTCACTTTTAGCCAGTGCGTGCGCGCGCATTCAGTAAAATATTCGTTACTTGTCGCAGGAAAGGGTGTACGCGACTGTCCATACGCAACAGTCACCCAGGTATTTTCGCAGAGGGCAACAATGCTTGCATTGCAAAATAATTTGTTGTTGGGCTAGTTGGTAGAACATCTCAAAAAACTAATGTGAGCGCAAACACACGACACATTCACGCACGCACGCACACACACACACACACACACACACACACACACACACACACACACACACACACACACACACACGCACGCATTAAAGAGCACAGCGTGTGATGCCTGTGTGTGTGTGAACGTGAATGTGTCATGTGTTCGCCCTCAAAATTGTTTTTTTTAATAATGCTAAGCTGCACGCCTATTATCATAGTAAAGCAACAAATTACTCATAGAGAACGTTGAAACTGGCGTGTTCGGTATCGTAAAGGCAGCTTGATTTCTCTAGAAATCTAGGAAAGGTACACTTCAAAATTGTCGACTTCATTCTTATGACAGTGCAGCGCTCACAAAAACAAAAAAAAACGACAATGGACGAAAGAAGGCCGCATGACATTTGCTTACTCCTAAGTGAATTTTTATTCGAAAACACACAAAAATAAAGTAGACTAGGAAATTCATCAGACCTTGTGATGGGTGTTACAAGCGAAAAAAAAACTTTTCTGGCAGTAGCCCTCTTAATAAAACCATCGTTTTTTGGAAGTGCCACACGGTGTTAAGTATGAACCCAAACTAACTAACTCAGTTTCTCATAATTAGAAGCTATTGACACAGGGAAGAAATTATAGACAAGTGTGTAAATGCACTCACGTCCTAGCGTAACAATGTGATATTGAAGCAGCTTTTGCTTTTTAGTGATGTGGTTACACAAGCAAGCGCAGAGCCTACGTGTTGGTTCACTGGACAATTACTCATGCTTTCCGGAAAACAGTGTCACCTCTATAGCACGTCAATATGAGCGCTTTATTGTAGATCGGATTCTATTAGCATTGTTTTCATTTCCGATTCTTAATAGCGCCACGATAAATTTCCACCTTCTCGGTACGGGCAAATGCGGGATGGGGAAAGGCAAAAACTAACGACCCATTCTGTTCTCGTGCGGTTGGTGCCAATGACACTCTTACGCCCTGCTAGAAGTATTTCTCGTACGGGGACTTATAGCAGTGGCACCGCGATGTTACAAGCACTCAGCCATGACCGCGAGCTGCGCTTCCGTTTTTACGACTGTTGGTGCATTACCTTGATGAGGACATCCTGGTATTCGCGATCCGACAGCTTGTAGCGTGATGGCAGCCGGATATTTGCGCGCTTCAGCACCAGCTCCAACTCTTCCACGTCGAATATGGGCACCGGGTCAATGTCGCTCTTGAAGATTAGCTGTCCGAGGTATTCCACGTAATGCATTCTGCGGAGAGGTAAAAGAGGCATTGTGGCCAAAACGGTGTGCAATATCAGGTACGCTCTTCTTGGGTGTTCTACGACTGAAACTTTGTGAGACATGCTTGGAGGTATCTGCCGTTGTTAGGCGAGGAGAAGCAAAGTGAACCTCATGGGTTTTAGAATAGCCCAATTTCATCACGTGACCTCTACTTAACATCGCTTTGAGCGACGGAAATCATGCGACAATCGATAGCCAAAGAGGCATATAAGCTTCTAGTGGAGAACCATGGACGCTACCACACAAATGATATTTATCGCCCTCAATGCTTACTGACCGAATAAAATTCGCGTCACATGAACAGACAGTTACTCCTAAAGCTGTAAGTGCTGCTTTAGTAGATTTTGATTGATTGATTTGTGGGGTTTGACGTCCCAAAACCACCATATGATTACGAGAGACGCCGCAGTGGAGGGCTCCGGAAATTTCGACCACCTGGGGTTCTTTAACGTGCACCCAAATCTGAGCACACGGACCTACAACATTTCCACCCGCATGTACGTGAGAATCTTGCCCAAGACTTTCACGATCGTATATTTTACGCATGATTGCTTTACTTGAGATACCAACAATCAATGATTTCATTTTAGGCGCCAACTCTAAATCAACAACCTTCTCAATGTCTTCATTTTAGTCAATATATAAATATTGTGCACATCGGGTGAAGAATGTCATTGTGACTTCTTTGGAGGTCATTTCATGTATATTTTAGCGCAATGAGTATTTATATGGTTTGATTCTTCACGCGTCTGTATTTTACTCTCACAATCCTCGCTTTAGCCTGTTCTAGTTGCTCCCCTTGGCCCAACGTTGACCAGCTGAGAATAGGGCAAAGTCGCTCATGCTGACATCTTAAAACTGTAAACGTATGTCTCTTCAATTGGCCTGGCAGCCTAATTCAATGCATTTAGTGGATGCCATGCATTCACTCAAGTCAGCTAAGTTGGCACACATTTGTGTTTCAGTACGCTCTCTCTATATATATCGCTTTATCGCTTGTTGTCTCGTGCATATATATGAAACAGCTCAGAACTAATTGATCCATGTTGGTTCGTCGGATTACAAGTGTGACGAAAACGGAAAAAAAATTTAACAACACCATGTCATCAGGGCGAGTAAGGAAAAAAAAACAAAGAACTTTCCTGTGAAGGGTGCCCTTAGTCGAGTAGAATGCACCAAAAGATTACTCCACAAATCACTGCGCTTCTTTCGTTCAGTTTTGTGGTGAATAAATTGATATAAAAAAACAAAAGAGCTATATGAAGTTTCCTTTTGTGTAGGTGCATGCAAGACTGACTGTAAGTGCTAACGAAACCAGTTTCTCAGCACAAACCTGTAATCTTCTTCAACGCCCCTGAAATCCATTCGCCTTCTCTGACTGTAACGGGTCGTGATGCTGTGATATGACATGAATTAATAAATATTTCTCTATATTTTGGGCTTGCTGAAGTCGTCTCATGTCCAACTAGGCTAAATTTTATCCTAGACTTAGTCTTCTTAAGTACAGATCTAGCTGACAGCAACTTTTCTTGTTAGATAGTTGAAAAAATATCAGATCATAAAATTGTCTTGTTAACACTTTTTCTATTCACGTCCGAATCATCTTATTATCCAGCTTCCCTGATTTCACTCGTGCTGGCGATACTTCCATAACTGATATTTTAGCGGCTCAGTTTGATACGCTTTTTGCGCTTTCTGATGGTCAAGATGTAAATTGTCTTGTTAATTTCTTCAAAAATCTTGTAAAGTTGTGTATCCAAAGATTCCTGCCAATTAAGACAAATAAAAGCAATGCTAATCTTTCTTGGATTATGCGTGATCTCTTACGTTTATCTGGTCGTGCCTATCAACTTAGGCGCTCCCGAAGACCTAATGATTCCGTTGTCCAAGACAGGTTTCAGAGAGCTAAGTGTGAACTCAACTCAATGATGAAAACAGCGAAAGATTTTGTTTATCGCGTTGAGTTACCTGATCTGCTAACGACAAATCTACGTAAACTTTTGTGTTCTATTTCGCCCCATGCTGCTTCACCTTCTTCTTTGAAAATAAATAATCACGTCATTAGTGACCCGCCATCTACCTATACATAATGCTTTCAATAACTATTCCCGATTTGTGTTAACTTACCATTCCTTTATCATTCCAACAATACCACTTTTTCCCTGTCAGGTATTCCTCATTCTAAACCAATCAGTAACATTGAAATAACGGGTGAATGCATCCTCAATAGATGTAAAACAATGCATCGACCCGGGCGGGATACAGAATGCATTCTTAGTTCGGTACTCCCTCATCCAGATGTTTACCAATAATGCTCAATAAATATTTATATTCTGAAACTGTTCCCCATTGTTGTAAAATGGCTAAAGTTCTCCCTCTTTTTAAATCTGGTGATAAGCAGTTTCTGTTAAACTAGAGACCAATATCACCGACTTCTCTATCATGAAAAATGTCAGAACATATCATTTATAAACGCACTACGCACTTCTTGGAATCCTACTTATTACTATCTCACTGACAACATGGACTTAGAAGGTTTCAGCCCAACAGAGAAATCAGTCAAATTCACGCATAATACTTTGCTTAGCCTTGATCATGGCGACCAGGTTGACGCTGTTTTCAGACTCAATTGGTTAACAATCCTGAAATGGTTAACTGAATGTCTAGATTTTTGTCATCTACCTCTCAATTTGTTTCTTACAGGTAAACCAACTCTGCTGTTACTAAAGTAGCATCTGGAGTGCCACAATGGTCCGTCCATAGGTCTTCGCTTTTTTTTAATTTATATAAATGACCTGTCTCACCACACCTCCTCTTCCGTTCGTTTTTATGCCAACGACTGCGTTTTCTACGAAGTGAATAAAACACACAGCGACCACTACCACTTGCAGAAGTCGTTTGCTGGGTTTAGAAATTTGTTCAGAACCTGGTAGATGAACATTAACTTTAAGGAAACAATGCTTAAGTCTTTTCTTAGAAATCGCCCTCTGTTTTTGATTACTCTTTTGATAACTGTCTTGTAAGAAGGGCTTTTGAATATAGGTATCTCGGTGTCATTTTTACACACAACAAGTCATGGTTCAAGCACATCGACTATATATGTAACAAAGCATTGAAAAAACTATACTATCTACGTCGCACTTTGTCTAAATCCCCAAAAAACAAAAACCTCTAATAATAATCACTAATTCGTCCTGTAGTAGACTACGCGTCCATTTTCTGGAACCCATATAAGCATTGTGAGATACAAAGACTGCAAGTAGGCTAGAAAAAGATGGTAAGACTCATACGCCATTACGACTCAATTTCTCACCCTCATTTACTCTGTCTTCATTTCAATTAACTGCACTTCATTCACGTCGCCGAATCAAGTCTATGAAATTCTTGCGAAGCAGTATTTTCTGTATAGTTAAACTATCGATCAAATAACAAGGAATGCATTAACTTCACTCCACAGTCAAGGACGAGACATTATCAAAACCTAAATTTGAGGCCTTATTACGCTCCAACTAATATGTTCAAGTTTAGTTTTTCTTCTCTTCCATCGAAGACTGGCATTCATTACCTGGTTCTGTTTGTTCATGCCCATCGCGAAGATTTGTAGCCGAAATCTACAGAAACTGTATGTAAAATACGCTGATCAATTTGCAAAAGGTACTTCCCTGTTTTTTTTTTTCGTGTTCTCGATATTTTCAATCACTTTAGCATTGTATGTTCACAGGACGATAATAAGTTCCCTGTTTTCATATTTCTCATTGTTTTTACTTATATTACTGCATATTCTTCAATACCGAGTCCTGTCATAGCAATCTTAGCGCTGCAGTATGTGTAAATAGATAAATAAATAAAAGGGTAAGAAAATAAATAAATTGGACCCTGAGTTACGACACTGTTACCTGTCTCCACATATCCAGAAACGCTACTGCGCATTAGGGTCGTGCTCGACTTATGCGTGCTTTCATTCGTGCGTATGGCCCATGCGAGAGGAAACGGAAGTGTTCTGCCAAGCACGTCATGCATCAAAGATGGCTCATAGAACGCAGCCTCAGAGATTTCTTCGCTGCCTACCTGCACAATCCTGCCGTGCCTTCTTCCACCATTCTACCACACACATCATCCTTGAAGCCATCCCTGGTCTCTTTTTGTTCAGGAACTTGGCAACGGGACGTCTTCACCCAGTGGGCTGGTGGGTCCCGATTGAAAGCTATATTGCTTTCCTGCAAAATGTTAATCGCCATAGTGACAAAGATGGGGTAAAAACAAACAACGACAAAAAAACAGGCACACCTGCGAGAAATGCACGATGCGCGCATGGAGATGCCGTATAGCTTCCTCATTTTCACGCGTGGGGATGTATTGGTTGCTTGAAACACGGTGATCAACCCTTCGGCATGACTTTGATCATGCAACTCTGATTGTTTCGACCCTGCTGGTTAAGTGATTTTTAAAACGTTTTTTTTCTAATTGCTTAGATTATTTTTCTCTGTGCGCAACCTAAATTTTCTGAATAATTTCCCAAAACGTTAATTTTGCTGAAGTGTAAATTGCCACAAAGTGGACCATAGTTTTTTTCTTTTCGCATTACCTGAAACAAACAAGAATACACACTGAATTAAGGAGTACAAAGTGAAGGGCAGATATTGCCAGTTCATAAACAAAAATGATAAGTGCCACAAACCACAAATTACACTTACATTTATTTATTTATTCTTTTTTATACAACTATTTTTCATTTAAATGACTGCCGCAGGGCAGGAATAGTAAACTACAAAAGATACACGCATAAATCAAAGACTGAAAATGCATTACATAAATCAATATTGCATTATAAAAAAGTGTACTCTGAGACATCATTTACAGTTTTGATTAAATTTATTCTGCATGCAGAAATCAGAAGTTAGGCTAAGCTACTTTCATGGAGTGAGAGTGCTCTATGTAATACATAACTTGTAAGGTTGCTTCAATCATTAACAGTCCTAGAAAAAAAGAAATGTTGGTAGCAGGCAATCAGTGAAATTCGAGGAGCTATCATTTTACAATGTCACTTGCAAGTGGCATACCCAAATGAATACTGAATACCTGAAGTGTCAACATTTAAATGGGTTTTTATTAAGTGTAGGAAATGCTTACGAAGGCTATTGTGATTTCGGGGCACAGCACATTTCAGACCACTTCTCATTAATATCAAAGAGACTGACGTCCAACCTGTTAAACGTACAGTGACTAAATGTATAGCTGTTGAATGTTGTAATGCATTTATGTTATATGCGCTGAATGCACACGTTCCCATTGAGTTTCTTCTTTGATGTAATAAATAAGGCTCAATAGTTTCATGCAGTACAAGTTCACGGAGATAAACGTCCTATTTTGCGCAGTATTCATATGTACAATAAAAAGAAAAGTACATGAAAGCAAAATTTTAATGGAACACACATTGCCAACAAAAGTTGTTTAGTTTCACGTCAGCATACGTTTTAGTTGCAAAACGTTAACATCAAAAAGAGTAAACGTCAACATTTTATCCTTTGCTAAAAAGCGCACAACAATAGGTATAACGCAAAATCTGGTAGGCTGTAAGAGAGCTCAGTCTAGGTATTTATTGTCCAAGAACATAAAAACTATCGTGAAAAAAAGCAAGTTCTAAAGAACAATATGAACTGGAGCGTGCCGACTGCGTACGAACGTCGTGGAAAATCGGCACAAATAATGAAACGATTCATATAGGAAAAACGCTTGCCTGCTGCATCAAAGTTGAAGTCATAGGTAACTTATATGGAAACATTCTTTATTGTGAAAACCCTCTCTATCTATTTAGCTAAGCTTTTTCGTTGCATAGATATGAAAGCATGTGCGGCAAAGTGGCTTGCGCTTACGTTGACAAAAATAAGCCGGTATGTACGGCTCTCTTTGAGCGATATTGGGTGCCCTCTCTACCTATAGTATTAAAACACAAGCCCATCTGCCTAATTAAACTAAGCCTACACGAAAATGTTATGCGGTACAGCGAACCGCATTTATTTGGGGCAAATATTAGCCGTTCACTTAGTGGCCTATTGCGTCGGTTTTCGTGGTCCGAGTTCTTCAGCCGCTTACGCAACATCTTTTTTATGTTACAGCGTTATGCCATGAACAAAATTGGCTATAAAGGACCTTGTTTGCACAGCCCCTCCTCAGTAAATTTTCTTAGTGACGCCTTTATTGCTGTGAACAATTTCAAGCAGGCGAACAGGATCTTAGTGCTTTACGATATCTATGTTCAGAAGCTCCAGAAATCGGTGATGCCCTTCTTGAGTAGCTACCAATGAGTGTAACGAGGGGTCTAATGAACAATTTTTTACATCAGATGCGAAGCAGCTTTTGTTCGGGGCTGTGTCCATCCCTCGGCGACTGTCCGCTCTTTTAATGTGCATGCGCCGACTCTCCCCTTTTCTTCGAACTCACGCGAGGAGGTGGGAGGAGGTGGCGTGGAGGACGTGGCTGAGCGCTGCCGCTGCTTTGTTTGTTCTCTGCTGTTTATCTATTTGCCACAGCTGTGCGCTCGTATATAATGCTGCGCTCACCTCGCACCGTCGCACTCTCCTAGCAGCTCTGGGTGTTCACTTTGCTGCACACACACGGTAATACACACAAATAGGAGCGCGATAACATAAGTGGTACACGTCATATACACCACTCCAGACACGAATGAAACATACACGGAAACAAACGAATGGAAACACAAGTAAACACCAGTGCAGGTGCACATACCCACATGGTTTCCTTCAGTGGGAGATGGTGTAAATGTTTGCTCATTATTGATACTTGTCATTCAATGTCCTACCTCAATATATATTCATGAGTAAGATTGATAGAATATTTCTTATGAACAATGGTAGCATATCAAAAATGTTCGTGAATACAGATCCGGATGCTTATCAGGGTGCTTTAATCGACCACAACAACCAGCGTCAAGAGCTTGTGCTGTATGGATTACACTTAGAAACATACCTATACAGCCAGTTAAATAGTAATATGTTAGAAATACACGTGCCCTTTTAGTACACAGTGAAAGAAGACGTCGACTTGACTGAGAGACTCACGTGCAGTTGTGGCCTGTGTGGCGTTTAGTAGCCTGTGGGGCGTTATGTAGCCTGTGTGGCGTGTCAATATAGCCTGTGTATGCATGTGTGAGTAAATCATTCTTTCCATTACGAGGTCTTGTGTGCTTCAAGAACGCCGCGAAACTAATACTTCAGAAGTGGAATCGACATCCAGTCGTCACGGAGAGAAAATGTGAGTTCTGTCAGTCTACGTAACTGGTTAACGTAATCCTAACCCTGAAATGCAACGCACCGGTGGAAGAGACAACCGAACTTGCGGTGGAGGAGGTACGGACTTGGGCAATGGAGACAGCATTACGGCTCGTGACTTACTCAAAGCACCTCAAGAAAATGACAGACTGCTATCAAGCTCGCTGGAACGACTGGTTTTAACCGGTGCAGCACAGAACCAGTGCCAACGTTCTAGGTGATCACCGACCTAAGTCACAATGCCCATGCCTTCGACGGCTCCGAAGACGGTCTTGCAGCGCGTGAATGGATCGAAAGCATTTGCCAAACGTCGAAGATTCACGGGTGGCCAGCTGCTTACACGCTAGAAAGAGCCAAGGCCCCATTGGTAGGAGGTGTCAAGGACTGGTACCGTTCAAAAAGTTGCCAGATCACGTCGTGAGAAGAATTCGAGCAGAATTTCCGTCGGACCTTCGTCTGCCAATCTAGAGTTGCGGAAAGATGGCGCAGGATACTATAACGCGTGCAGCAGCGCAACAAGAGTACGACCGCCTACTTCCACTCTAAGGTGCGTCTGTGCCACGAAGTCAACCTCGACTTTAAAGATACGCGAGAAGAAGTTATCTCGGGGTTGAGGTCTCGTGAACTATGCACCATGCTCTTGGGTAGAATGCATGACGATGTCGACGAGCTACTGCATGACATCTTGATGCTTGAACGCATCGAACGAGAACAACAGGAGGTTTTGGGCACACGCAACCGAAGCACCAAACCTCCTTCAGGTTCAGAACGCTCCCTTCCCGCTACCATGGGAAGAAAATTGACGACCGACGCGAATCAAAGAACGGAACAATACCAACCATTACCGCTCGTCGACAAGCACGTCACACCATAGACCGACGTCTACGTCACTGGCCGTCGTCTTCTCTCAAGAGGAAGCACCCCGGGAGAAGCAGACGACGCCTCGAGTCTACAAGAACCAGTAGCCGCGTCTGCTGCAACCCCCAGAAGACACGTGAACCTGTTTTTCGAACGAGCCTCGCCACACGCCGACAACTCCGGATATAGTAGGGTACCGACTGCGAAGATAGGTGAAGAACCAAAGCCCAAGACGTCTACTGGAGCCAACGAAAAGCTGAAAGACAGGAACGAAGCCGAAACTGACGCAAAGGAAAGCAGACAAACTCGCAAACTGGTGCTACGGAAAAAGGCAGCGAGGAAAAACCCGCAACAGCGAAAGAAACAGCAGGGCATTGCGGCGAAGAAGGAAAAAAAGAAAGATGACGAAGAAGCATCCCAGGGACAGAAGAAGACACATAAGGATAAGCAGGAGGAAGGCGAGGTTGCAAAAGACAAAAAGCTAGAAGCCCAACCAAGCCAAGACGACGATACGGAAGACAAGTTAGCAGAAGAATAAAAAAAAATGCCGTAGAGCAGACCGAAAGACAGGAGAATGAACAGTCCCGGACCAATCCGAAGGAAGATACTGAGCCGAAGACAACAGAATCAGACGACACCGAGAAAATGGGAAATGCCAGAGCAAATCCGTAGGAATATTCACCACAGTCGGGCCAAAAGCAGAAGACCGAGCTGGACCAAGCGTCGAAGCCAAAGTCTAGGCAAGGGGACACCAACATCGTGCGTGTCGTGCCTTTCCCCAAGGTCAAGCCAGTCAAAATGGCCGGAAAGTTTGACATAATCTTGAAAGTTTCACGCTTCTGCGTGCCATGAAGTTCGCGTGAAAGTTTCACGTGAACTTCTGCGTGCATGAAGAACTTAATGCGTCAGTGTATAGGTATAGCTGTTTTCTTTGTGTTGTTTCTGTTTCTTCTTTATCGTGTTGCTTTCGTGCGTCATTGACTAAGTATTTCATGTAACAGGATGGCCGAACATTTGTATGTTAAGTCACAAGACCATTTTCGGGACAGCCTTAACGAGGACGTCAAAAGTTGCAAGATGGCCGAATGTTAGAAATGCACGTGCCCGTTTGGTAGATAGTGAAAGAATTAAGACGTCGATTTGACTGAGAGACTCATGTGCAGTTGTGGCCTGTGTAACGTTTAGTAGCCTGTGTGGCGTGTCAGTGTGGCCTGTGTGGCATGTGTGAGTAAATTATTCTTTTTATTACGAAGTCTCGGGAGCTTCAAGGACGCTGCGAAGCTAATAAATATTGTTAACTGTTGGGGTCGCATGTCCCAAAACCACAATGAGATAACGAGAGACATCGTAGTGGAAGGTTACAGAAACTTAGGCCACCGGAACTGTTTAACGCGCACCTTAACATGAACGCGTCGGCCTCTATTTTTTATACTCCATCGAAAAACGGCTTCTGCATCCGACATTCCATCTCGCTAAATTTCACTGGCGGTTGCCACTCGTTAAATATTACCACACCATGTGGCGAATGTTTGCTTCTCCGGGTTGCAAACCTATGAACCTATGAGTCAGGCCCCGCCGCGGTGGTCTAGTGGCTAAGGTACTGGGCTGCTGACCCGCAGGGCGCGGGTTCGAATCCCGGCTGCGGCGGCTGCATTTCCGATGGAGGCGGAAATGTTGTAGGCCCGTGTGCTCAGATTTGGGTGCACGTTAAAGAACCCCAGGTGGTCTAAATTTCCGGAGCCCTCCACTACGGCGTCTCTCATAATCATATAGTGGTTTTGGGACGTTAAACCCCACATATCAAACAAATCAATCAACCTATGAGTCAGGCGTAATGCTTAAGCTGCGGGAATATTTGGCTTTCTGGGCGCCGTGACACGTTGAACTTCTGAACTCTATACGGTGCATGCAACAGACACGTAGATTTTCTTTTCATGGAACGCACAATAGAGTCAGGATTTAAGCTGTACACGCTCTTTTATAGTCCAAAATTATATAATCAGGCGAGATTCACCGTGTTCTCGACTTAGGTTTTTCCTCCTATTGGCACCTTATTTGTAGTCATTTCTTGATTTTTTTTCCGGTAGGTGTTAAAGACTGACATTTAGAACACATACCGCACCAAATGGCTCGATAAAACACTTTTCTGGTGTCTGCCCTTTGTTCCTAAACACGTATCTCACTTGTAAAAAGGTCTATATTGAACAGACTGGTCGCTGCATCAATGATCGAGCATGAAATCGTGAGCAGTATCATTTATTTACTTATTATGTATAGATGATGTACCTGTGAACGAAATTTTTTCTAGTATTCAATTTTGGGCAAGAGCGGAAATTCGAAACCCATATTAGTTATCCAAGCGTACCTCATAAGGAAAAAAGAACGTGATTGTATCAGTGACCCTTCAGTTGGGTTGCGCAAAAAAAAAAGAAAATGATTGTTTAAATTTCATGTTCTAATCTGTATTCTCGCAACATACCTGTTTTGGGGCTGCGATATGCACTGTGCTCGTGCATGCTGGCTGCGCAAGGTATATACATATTTAAGAAATTTTCACTGTATATATAAATTCGAGCTGGCGCTTGTCCCGTGTTGTGTTTTTTATTATGTCCCGCACGTAATTTCCACATTATTCTCTGTCCTTACTATCAACTTAGAGTAGGTTTCACTCTGAGCCCAGGTAAGCATTTAATAATATCAACTAGCTCTTCAAATATACAAGATCTTCAACCCAGACGTTCTAGAGCCTACCAACAAGCATATATATGTAAATTTCGTCGATAGCTACTCTGGCTATCATTTTTCCGGGTCACACAAAAAAGACGCTACTCTTTAAAAAGCACCACGGGACTTGGCCTCTCGTGCAGTGACATTAGTTTCCCTAAACACGAAGGAATGATTAATGCTGCTCGCGGTACGACAAAGGCACAAATAGGTTTTGAGCAACAGAAATGGATCGAATACAAAAATCTCGGTGTTTATTTCTGTCCAGATATCTTGCCTAAACAAGCAGTGAATCGTATTAGGCCAAGGAAGAGGCAATAAATAACGCATGCCTATTTTGGAAGCTCAGTCAGCGTTCCTGCTGACTGACAGCACGGAGAGCGACGAGGATTTATCGGTGGATGGAAATGTATCGCAGATGACGGGTGTTCTGCTTTTATCACTCTGCTTGCGGCCCGTACATTCCATCTGTCTGCGTAAAATATATTCGGATTCTTGCTAATTAGCCCTGAAATTGAAGATCTTGTTTTATCCTAATACTCTGAACATTAGTCAGTAATTATTGTTAAATATTTACATAAGCTCGAAGTAAAACTTTTGCGAGGAATTTCTTTAACGGCAACTATTAAAATGAGTGTAGAAAAATGCTATGAAGCGAGGCCGAAACATGGAAGTACTGACGTACTGTTTCACTATATTGTTAAAATATAATAGAACGAACACCATCCGAAACTAGCAATATTTGAGAATGGCAAACTTTTAACACAGCCTATGCTTTTCTTGAGTTAACTAATGTCTGAGCGAACATTTGTACTGAAAAACAGCCAGATCTCATACTTTGTACAGCTGCTTTAATCCACAAGTGATATAGGTGCAGCTCAAAGCTTTTTTCTTTTTTTGATGCTGACCTAAAGAGTTCATGGAGCCTTAGTTCACTTGCCACAGAGTGTTTAACGCTAAATAAAGTCTCAATTGCTTAAGAGGAGAGTAAGCAAAACTTCGTTGGCTCTAGGAAAGCGTGCATTAATTTTTTAGCCTAGCCTGAGTAACCGGAAATTTTAAAATTTATTCCCCTAAACATTTCTAGGGCAGGCGAATTGAATTGTATGTTTCATAGCACTGTCATTACGGTAACAGGAAAGGGTGTACAACGTTCATGCTTTTGTGCTGACAGTAAGGCACAACCGAAGGATGTGTGAACTTTGTGACGGCAAAGGTCAGAAATACAGCCCACTTTCCAAACTCTCGTGACCACTCACCTCTAGAAGCCTTTGCAAGTCTTCCAATTTCTTGTCACGGAGGTAGAAAAGGCAGTTTCTAGGATGGTGCGCATGTAGGCCCAATTTAGAGCAGTTTGGAGATCGGCCACATTTCTATGGATGGCAACAAGAAGTATTCCGTGTTTGCAATTCAATCACACTACCGAATTTCGTAGTCGACGCAGGATATTTCACTTACCTCACCCATTTTAAAAGGCAAATTGCAACCACAACAGAAGTCGAAGCCACACTGATAGCATTTGAAATGCATGCAGCCACCACGGGCCAGGGCATATCGAAACTTGCAGTTCGGACAATCTGCGAAAGTGTAAAAATATACCATGGTAAAATGTTGCTCCTGCAGAGGCTGGACATTTCGCAGGCGTGAGAGTTGTAGAAATTGTACATTTGCATTTCATTTGAACAATAAATATGTCAATCAAGCTTGCGATGACATGTGAATGTGATGATGTGCACCAATCGGTAGATTTGAAAGTCTACTAAGAATGCAATCGACACGTCATAATTTCCTTGAATGTGAGGAAACAATCTTCAGGTTGGAAACAGTGAAGGTTTCTGCAATCTTACCTCAGACCTGCACCTCTTGTGTCGAGAAATAAGGTACGATGTTTTCTCTTTTGTTTTGTGTGTTGTCATATTGTGTGTTGTGGTATTGATAAACCGTCAGTCTCAACTTGTTTGATTGGTAAAATACCCAAATAACCCATCCAATATCAGTCGTTATAGTTTATACAGTCGCAGTCAATGCTTGTAGCTAGCATACCATGATACGACAACAAAAGTGTACAAAACAGAGTAAAACAAATCACGACACCATGATGTTGTTTAGAAATGCTTTATCCTACGTAAAGTTGCCAGTTGAACAGCACTCATGCCACTAAAGTATTTACAGGATGAATGACATACCAATTCCATTTTCTGCCAAGTATTGCGCAATTCCTTCAGCCTGGCTTTCAGGGTCATTGTTTTGCTGCCACTCTTGAAACTGCTCGCAGCTGATTCCTTCATGTTGCTTTTGCCACTGGAAAACACGCAAAAATTTGAACTCGTCATAAATGAGCCATGCATTGCTACCCACAATCACTCTTCACGCCTAAGGCAAGAGGATGCATACTTATTGAGATCAATAATTTATTGACGGGCTGGCTGCATGTTTCATAAACCACGTCTGAGCAAAGAACTTACAGGCTTTCGACAGGACGCGCAGGTGACTGCCTTGCAGTCGGGGCACGCAAGACGTATCTGGTTAGGGTATGTGATGAAACCAGAAGAGCACTGGAAAGATAGAAAAATTCCATTAGAAATAAATGCAAAGTTGGTCATGTCACTGCCACGAAGAACTCAAAACTATATGAAACTTTTTCGTTCCGCGGAAGTCGTCGCTTTATTTGCTCGTCACACAATATTGCATAATGTTGAAGGCACCCTATCCAAGAAGTCTCTTCACATGCAAAACAACTGCAACAACCTGCCAATTAGTCTTTCTCTGGTATACGAAAAAGGCACTGTAAGAGAAGTGTTCAGTGCAACATGCGCAGATGTTGACGTTGTGACTGATTATGCAAATATGAATCTTTCGCTACTGCGTCATTAAACAAATTCTTCTATACTAAATAAAAAAGTGTTTTAATGGCGGCTTTCATCTTCCGCAAAGAAAGAGGGAAACTCTTCAACAAAACAGATGAAGCACCAACTACTACTCGAACACGGCAAAATATTATAAGCGTATTTCATGGCCGATTAAACTCGTGCGCTTAAAGGAGTGCGCAAGCGAGTGAAAATTTTTCACCATGAGGCAAAGCCTCTGGCTTTCCGTAAAGGGTGCGAGCACCTCAGCTAGGGTGACCTTGAAGCGACGATTCTTTCATGAGCGCAAACTACACCGTGACTTGTGAAATGAGACTGACAGCTACAGCTGTTTTTAAGAAGATTAAAGGTTACAAACCTGTGAACACCATCGGAAGTTTGGATCCTTCATTAAAGCTCGGTCCCGTAGCTTTTGTTGAAACAGGTCGTAGACTTCGCTGTCAACCAAGCCTTTCAACTGAGAAAATAAATGAACAGAACTAAGGTGGACAAACGCAGTAAACGTACACTAAACTGTTTTGTCCAATTCATTTTTACTAAATTCAAAGAGACGTAGAAATGTTATTGAGGCCCAAAATCTGTTTTCTGAAAGGCTGGCACAATTTTTAGGAAATATAACACCCTGCCATACGGTCAGCATTTTAGTGAGAAGACTACCAATGCTACGGAAATTAAATTACCGTCACTGCTCTTCAGACTTCCCAACAAGTGAGCGCTGATGTTATTAGCAAAGTGTGACTTCGTTATTTATCCATAAATTTTGTATAATGTGCAGAGACCCTGGACACCGAAGCGCAATATTTGACAATACATTTTTTATAACGCGTTGTTATTGCAGTATTTTGAAACGCAGCATTATTGACCTCCACACCCCTTACTGTTATAGTATTGTGGTAGCCTTCGTCGCACATCACAGTAGTTTGCGTTTAATGTAGTTCCTGACATAAGCATTAAGATCACATTTGTTTGCAGTAGACCTCAAGAGCCTCGGAAATGCCATTGGGTTCACGTGACGATAGTTACCGCCTTTTTTCTCTGTTTTTGCGACAAGGCTACTTCTCCAAGAACACATGCATTTTGTTCAATTTTATACCTTTTGACCATGACTGTAGTTCACTGTCTATTTTCTAATCAAGCGTTTTCATTTACCAGTTTTTATACAGCCGTGAGAGGGATAGAGAGATGAGTTATCAGAAGGCTGAGAGGTCGGCCTACACTAGTTCGCTCTAGTCTGCTACTGTGCACAAGGAAAGAGGAACAGGGGAAAAAACAATGAAGGGTGACGATGGGTACAGAAATAGTCTATACGCATATACAATAATTATTCAACAGTGTGGCTACACTACTGTCAAGTTCTATAATTTTTAGTAATGTAGGACACCCATCACGGCCATGAATTTTTCTTTAGACATTGATTGATATGTGGGGTTTAACGTCCCAAAACCATCTCTTTAGACATTATAAACGAAAAATTTCGAAGGTCGGGAAAAACGAAATTGAACTCAAAATTTGCCAGATTTGACGTGTTTAAAATTCCTCGCAATTTCGTTTTATGTTGGCTCAAACAATAGATCCAAAGGAGCGATTTCGCATGTAGCTAGAAAGACACTCCCCTCTATATCTGGTGATATTAATGCGCGAAATCTTGTACCTTGAAATTTCGAAAATTGGATATCTTTATCGATACACAAAGCAAAAGCAAATAAGTTTGTACTTACCAAAATATCTAAGTTGTTAAAGTAATTCAGTTCTACATCTTCGTCACTCAAGTCAGGCTCATTGCAGAATGGGCAAAGAAGTTCCATGATATTTCTGTCTCGTATTTGAATGGTGAAATAGGCTTTAAGGCACTCCTTGCACGCTCTGTGTACGCAGTTCAGCAGAGATACCATCTGCAACAAACATAAATGTACATGAAGACAAAATAAGGATCATGTAACTACCACACTCTCACAACTGTTTTTCTTATCCTATGTCTTGTAACTTTGTCTTCACCAACAGAGCAGACACCGTTCATCATTATCGCGAGTGCTTCTCACGAAGCTCACTCGGGAGCACGCAACCATCAGTTTTTTTTTTTTCATTCATTGTTCCATTAAAGAGCGTTCCTTACGGACGTGCCGTCTCTCGTTCTTGCATGACAGCCAGGTAGCCGGCGGACCTCGAGGTGCAATACATGGTGCCGAAACCCAACGGCATCGTCGAAACTACGGCAACCTCATCGAATCAAGGTGTCGCTCTGTTACCCGTTGAACCTTTGGCGTAGAGTTCCCGGCTGCCGACTGAACCATGGAACGGCTACACCGACAACGCAAGTGCCTCCGCTCGCAACTGGATACCGTCGTACGAGAAGCGGAAGGCCTCCTACGGGAACAAGAGCGGTCGTTGTCGCAGGTCAGCATTTTAATTGACCGAGTTAACGCGATATACGGAGAGGTAACGAAGATCGATGACAGCATGCTTGATGAGACGCCTGACGAGCTGATCGAGACAGTAATGATAGACGCGATCAGTTTCTGCGACAAGATTATGGCACTGACGTCAAAGCTTCGCTTTGCTATTCAGAACGATCGTACGTCCCAAGTCTAGTGCCCGAGGACGAGACAGGCTTTCGTCGGTGTCTGGTCGCGACTGCCACAACTACAGATACAGAAATTCGATTGCAGTCGACAGCAATGGCATTGATTTTGGATGCAGTTCTTGGCGGCAGTTCATAACAACGTTTACCTACTTGAGCACGCTTGCCACTGGACCTGCCGCTGCAGCCATATCCGGACTTCAAGCATCAGGCGAGTGCAAAGAAGATGCAGTAGATACCCTCAAGAGATGCTTCGGAGACGATAGGATTATCGTACAGCAACATCTTTGAAGCCTCTTAGATCTCTAGCTAGTTTTGTCGTCTTCAAGCACCACTGAACTTCGAGAGCTCTATGACGAAGTTAAAGTGCACATAAGGAGTCTGAAAGCACTTGGAAGAAAACCTTGCACCTACTCCACCATGTTACGGGATATTCTCTTACGTGTCATGCCATCAGACTTGGTGCTGAAGTTTCACGAGAGCCACAAGACGACGACAAAGATTGCTGCGGTATCCACGATGCAAGCGCAAAGGGACCCAGAGGACATGATGACCAAAATCGACAAAGAGCTACAAGATCTTCTGAACTTCCTCGAACATCAGCTTCACTGCCGAGAAACTCTGGTGACATATGCGTCCCAAAGAAGGCCAGAAATCCATCAGAAAACTGAATTTGATTGATTGATATGTGGGGTTTAACGTCCCAAAACCACCATATGATTATGAGAGACGCCGTAGTGGAGGGCTCCGGAAATTTCGACCACCTGGGGTTCTTTAACGTGCGCCCAAATCTGAGCACATGGGCCTACAACATCTCCGCCTCCATCGGAAATGCAGCCGCCGCCGCCGGGATTCGATCCCGCGACCTGTGGGTCAGCAGCCGAGTACCTTAGCCACTAGACCACCGCGGCGGGGCATCAGAAAACTGGAGAGTTTTCAAGACGAATGGGGCATCATACCATGTCATCAACAGCATCTCTACAAAATGTGTTGGGGGAGCCCGATTCATGTCTGTTTTGCAAATCATCAAAGCATTGTGCCGAGGTCTGCGAAAGCAAAATGAAGTTGACAGAAAAGAAAGGAATGCTCAAGCAAGACAGGGCGATGTTTTCAATGTTTGAAGCAAGGTGAGGGATTGTAGAGGACACCAAAAATGCGACAGATGTTCTCGATGACATGAAGCATCCATGTGTGACCCAGACTTTCGGAAGAAGGCAGCAGAAACCTCAGCGACAGCAGTGAGCATCCTGTCGGAACAAGCAAGCCTTGTTATATTATTGCAGTGTTTGACGGCGCGAGTAGCAGGGAAGGCGTCATCAAGGAACTACAAAATAATCTTTGACGAAAGAAGTCAGCGGAGCTTCATCGCCATCGAAAGATCTCGCCAACTTGGCTGCCAGCTGTTGCAAGTAGTAACTGTGACCATAGGGATATTCGGAGGTCACAAGACGCAGAAAACTATGAGAAGAGTGGGCGTGAGCATTTTCGAATAAAAGACAAAAAACCTATTGTGATTGAAGCCTTAGAAGTGGAGGACTTCTGTGGCGAGCACATCTAAACTCCTGACGATGAAGTCACAAGCAAGATAAAGGAAACTGGATCGGACACACGGCCCCTTTGTCAAAAGGGAGAAAACGATAACTCTATTTCTTTGCTTGTCCGTTCAGACTACTACTGGCGTTTTGTGACTGGTGACGTGAGAAGGATGTGCAACAGATGGAAAGACCTAAAGGCTGTGCACACTAAATTGGGATGAACTGTCCAAGGTCCACTACCTCTCCCAGGAAAAAGCATTCACTGCTCAACCGCCATAGAACTTCGAACCTGCATTGAAAAAGACATTGTTTCGGACGCACTCACGCAGTTTTGAAATCTTCAAAGTATCGGCGTGAAAGAGGAAGAAAGCATCTCAAATAACAAACAGACGCTGCAAGAATTCGAGTGAAACATAAGTAAAAGAGATGGCCGTTATGAAGTTTGACTTCTTTGGAGGAAAACTGTAGAGCTTGAAGACAATTTCTCTGTAGCCACTAAACGCTTTGGGAAGTTGATGAGCAAGCTGATGATAGACGGCAGCTTTCGGAAAAAAAAAATATGACGAGACTATGCATGTATATCTTGAAGAAGGCTCAGCAAAAAAGTTTCTGGTTGAAGTTTTACACGTGATCACCGACCGTATTACATGCCACATCGAGCAGTGATCAAAAAGACTGGACTACAACAAAAATTCGCATCGTTTTCGACCCGTCCTCATATGAATGTGGAGCGAAATCTCTGAACGACAACTTGGAATCTGCTCCGAACCTTAACCACGACGTAGCCACACTTCTCTTGCGTTTCTGACGAAACAAGGTGGCTATGACAGTGGATGTGGAAAAGGCGCTCCTTCAGATTGGTCTCCGTGAAAAGGACAGAGATTCCATCAGGTTCATGAGGTTCCCCACTTCTTTCGAAGAGAGTCGACCATTACAAGAACACGAAATCTGGAGGATGGCAAGAGTGCTCTTTAGAGCAACCTCAAGCCCCTTTCTTTTGATGTCCACCCTGCAACACCATTTCCGGTGCGCCGAGAATCAATACAAGACGACGGCTCTCCTACTTGAGAAATCTATGTACATGGATGAGCTCCTGATAGGAGCCGACACAACAAAAGACGCTATTAGGATGCATGAAGAGATAGTGAGAATATTCAAAGATACGTCTATGAACATCAGGAAGTAGAGAAGCAATGAACCTACAGTTACTGCCTGTTTTCAAGATTCCATCAAAACACCAGACCAACCACTTTGTAGGCCACCACGAATACTGAAAGCTCCGGGGATGTCTTGGAACACGGATAATGACAGCTTCTGTTTCCATCCTATGAACATCTTACACTTTATTTCACAGCATGATGTGATGAAGCGTTTTGCTCTACAAGTAATAGCAAGGTTTTACGACCCCTTAGTTCTCACGTCTCCCTTTCTTGTAAGAGCGAAGATATTTCTGCAAGACCCCTGGAGAGCTAATCTCAATTGGGATGAACTGTTACCACCCCATCTGGCGGACACGTGGTTAAAATGGAGTCAAGAAGTACCTCACCTTCAAGACATACACATTCCTAGGTTTCTGGGATCAAGAATGCAAAGAGCGATTTTTCAGTCGCATCTGCAAATTTTCGCCGACGCTAGTGACTCAGCTTATGGAGCAGTAGCTTAAACCTCTATGTTTAATTCGAAGAGCGAAGCTTATAATGCAATCCTATTTGCAAAAATTAGGGTTGCGCCAACCAAAACGATAACACTGGCTCAACTTGAGTTGATGTCTGATCTGCTGGCAGCACGCATTCACTGTTATCTTTCAAGCGACTCTGACCTCACCTTCAAGAAGGTAACCATTTGGTCAGACTCAAAAATTACGCTTTACTAGATCCGCAAGGAGCCTTCGACATGGAGAACATTTGTCCGAAATCGAGTGGCTGAAATCCAAAAGCTAGCCGAGATCTCGTTTGACGTTTCTGCCCAGGCAAGGAAAATCCAGCAGACTTATTGACAACAGGTGTATCAGCAGAAAAACTACATCAGACAGAACAGTGGTGGCGTGGACCGAAATGGATGAGTGATCCCTCTGGATGACCAGAAAATTCTGATCTAGAAATGCAAACAGAAGTATCAGAATGTGCCACCACCACCTTGACTCATGCTGTCAGCGCGAAACAGCCATTAGAACTACTAATCGACCCAGAGCGGTTCAGCTCTCGTGTCAAACTTATACGAGTCACCGCGTGGTTGTTGAGATACATAAAAAAGCCTAAAGGTGTGCCCATGACATCAGAGGGCTTCTGACTGGAGATATACAAGAAGCTGAATGATATCTGATACGTGTCGAGCAAAGGACGCAGTTTGGAGATGAAATAACGTACTTTTTGGAAAACAAGCCTGTTGCTGCGCAGAGCCAAGTTCAACATCTACGGCTTTTATTGGACAAGGATGGACTGATTCGTGTACAAGGTCGTGCATTCAGCAAGAACGAGAACTATAAATACAGAACTCAAAATCAGATCCTTTTACCTAAAAAAAGTCATTTCACAACGCTTACTATTCGACAAGCCCATATGAAGGTTCTTCAATGTGACGTGCGAGATACGCTTGTACAGATACGTGAACCAATTTGGGTTCGTTTTGTTGACGGCGAAGTTTCTCAGTTCGTCCTGATATTCTTTCTGCCAACGTTTCCAAATGATCTGCAATGATCCAAATGATCTGCAAGTCTTCTGCTTTTCAGCTGGGCTTCGCTTTTATTATCCTTTGGCATTTCGTAAAGTGGCAAAGATGA